AGAGATCAGAAGCGCAGCAGCAGGAAGGATGGAGGGAGGGTGGATGTTATTTTCCCTCTCATATTAATTCTATTCATTAGGCCTGTCTAATTAATTCAGTTCCTCCTCCCTCCTTCGTTTCACTTTATTTGCTTTCAGACCTCCCCTGCTTCCTACCTTCTCTTCCCCCATTGTCCCCGTTGCTGTTTCCTTTCTTTCCTACTTTGTTCTCCTCTCCACCCTTTTTCTTCCCTCTCATTCACGTCTGTTGCAGTCCTCAGATGGACGCTGCCATCGTCGGTGTCGGTCCGGCTTCAGACTAAAACATGCTGAGTGGCCATCAGACAGATTGACATTCAGTTGGAAAACTTAAATGTGGCACTTAAAATGTCAAACGTGGTCAGTGCGTTTCTGTCCAGTAATCCCATGCAGTGCTAATTGGAAATGGGTAATATGCTAAACCCTAAACCACATGGTTCACATTAAACCTGCACAACCTGAACATGTCTGCACTGGTACTGTGAGCATGTCGCTGGATTTCAGGACACCTGAGTATGTACCTGTACCTCACAGTCCTGGCTACAGCTGTAGTCCATCCTTTTTCCTGATATCAGCATGACTATTTTTATTATAAATGTAATATTATTCACTGGATTTAAACGGCGGCTGCACTTCCTCTGCACCGCTGTGGTGCTCAGCAGCGCCCCACCCACACCACCACCTGATGGCTTACCTGTGATCAGTTTCAGTCTCAGGACACTGAAGGAGCTTTTTTCTTTCTTCATTAACGCCGTACATGTTGTGTTGGAGTTTGTGTTACTCTAGATTTGGATTTCACTCTAAAACACTGGTTCTAGATGTGAGTTCTTGGTCTCCTGACTGATGTAGTAATTGGCCCTTGAACAGCCATGTTGGTGAGCCGTTGCTATTTTCCTCCACTGACTGAGATCCTGGAATCCAAGGCTGTAGCCCATAAGTCCTTCTCTGTAGATACTGTCAACATGTCTCTGGGAGGCTGGAGATGTCCCAAGGCCAGCTGGGATGTGTGATTGCTGCAGAGTATTCTGGGTCTGACCCGTGCTCTCCTCCCAGCTGGACTTCCCAGGAACCCATCCACCTCCAGATGTCCAGGATGTGACCTGATTAGATGCCTTAATGCCCTCAGCTGACTCCTTTGGACCCAGAAGAGCAGCAGGTTCTATTCTCAGCTCACCTACTGAGCCAGAACAGCCCCACCGTGAAGAAAAGCTCTTCTTCATGTCACGACCCAAAGCTCACAGCCATGTGTGAGGATCAGCAGGTCCTGGTCCGGTCCTGTATCTGTATAACAGGACATCAGTCAGACTGCAGCTTTAGGGTGGTGCTGCCTGTTCAGCTTCACTGTCGCTAAGAGCAGCTCCTCTGTTTCCTGTGTGTGTAGACTATCAGTGATGGAGGTAGCATCTCCATCTGAAGGTGGACGCGCCTTAAACCTGCCCGCTGGTTGTATAGACGTTCATGAGAATGATTACCCTGCTGATGCCTCGATTTATTACCTAAACACACATTTTCCTAAGATGTTGGTGGACTTAGATGCTGCTTTCAAGTCTCCTTCTTATTTTTGTGAATTATTGCCCAGTTTAGATTCAGATGGATATAAAGCAGGCTGTGCTGTCGGCTGTGGGCCCGTTGTGAGTGCACGGCGCTCATCGAGTTCTCAGGTTTTAGTCACATCCTCCCCTTACCAAGATGGTGACAGCTAAAGTCAAAACTTTAAAACTCTGAATTTCTGGCCTAGTGATGGTAGTTTGCAAATCAATACATCCATGTTTTAAAACCATCTGTATGCGTAGTGGAGGTGTGCTGTGTGTGAAGCACATGCAGTGACTGAGTGTATGTGAGTTATTTTTCTACCGTCTACACTCAGATCTGCACAGTTTTGAACTGAAACCACTCCACATTACTCAAATAGATCCTCTCCATCCTTTCATCTCCCTAAGCCCTGTCCTTGCCTCCCACTTCCTTCCTCTGTCTCACTTCTTTGTCTCCTGTTGTCTGGATTAACTAAAATTTGCTGAGTAGCGATGATGCAGCATCAGCTTTGTGTGTGAGAGGTAGAGAGAGGCAGACAGAGACAAAGAGAGAGGGAGGACTTGTTTGTGCACTTTGCATCTGTCCCCTGTTACCAGCCAGCATCATCAGTAACCCTCTCTCTGGGGTTTATCAGCATCTGCACTGCTATCAGTTGATGGGGGTTTAGGGATGGATGGATGGCCTAGAGAGAGGAGAGGGAGGGAGAACCAGAGAGTTCAGACAAACTCAGTGAGAAAAACACACAGACTCACACATGGAGAGCAGAGAGAAGGTCAGGAGAGGATTAATGGCTGTGCTCTGATAGATAAACTAATCAAACAAACAAAGACTTCAGCACGCTCACACATTAAAACACAAACCGAATGTAAAGCAGATACACACTGGAGCAATCCAAACTAGACGGAGACGCTGAAAGATTGAAGCGAGGAAGAAACCCGTAGAGAAGAAAGCACGGGAAGTTTCTACAGACACACACAGCGCTCTGCACTTTTATTGACTTTGAGTGGAGCGCCGGCCTCCCTTCTCTGAGGGCTGGGTGTGCAATCACCGATTAAGTCCTCCAATACAGAAAAGTATTTTCAGCACGATGAATGCATCAATGGGAGGATGACGAGTCAATCCAGGACGGTGATTTTCTCAGCTTTTCCTCAGGAGACTGTTTACATTGTGTCTGTGTTCCTGTATCGCTGCATGTGAAGCCCATCTGGCTGTTGGTTCGTCTTTACTTTCTCTCACACGTCCTGTTTTGGTCGGACTGATGTTCTTGTGCTTTACAGCTAATTTTAGCTTTTGCCACTCGTAATGATCAAGCAGCCAGATGTGCTCATGCTCACCCAGCATGAAGTTCTGGACGTTGAAGTTCAATGTGGGTCCTGACTATCCTTAATAACAGCCAACAGCTCACTGAATCACACAGTCGGCCTGTTTCACACTTACGTTTCCTGTCTGACATCGGCACATATTCTAATTTTCAGTGGCTCTTGTAGGTCAAAGCTGCCGTTTATTTTAATGCAGCAGAGCTTGTATTGCATTTCAGTCTATTATATTTTCTCCAAGTGATTGAGTTTTTGTCGATCTGTGTGTGTGTAGCCTGACCAGAATGGTGGAGATCCTGGGAGAAGACAGCCCTCTGGGCATCCACGTGGTGCCCTACTGCTCGTCGCTCAGCGGACGGTGAGTCGAGCACACAGCCTGCATTCACACAGTCTCACAGGCTCACCCACACCGATTCGTCTACGAGAGCCGATTCCTGCCCTTCAACCCTCACGGTCTGTCCGTGTACCAGCTCCAATGTGTGCTACAGTTCTATTCCCATGATCCTGAGCTTGTGAGGGGTTCTGGCGCCTGCACTGCTCTACATAAACAGGGCAACCACACACTGGGGAGAAGGAGAGGAACATGGAGTGGCACAGCTATGCAGGGCTTTTCTTTGGGTGTGTTCCAGCCAGACAGTGGACAGGGGATTTCCTAAAGAACAGCAGGATGACTTTTTATGACTGTTCTCATGACCCACCTCCTCCTTAGATTCCTCTGTCTGTTCTCGTTTCCCTCTTCGTCTCTTTGCTCTCTCCTCTTTCCTGAACACCTACTTTCTTCATCATTTCACCGTCCCCTTTGCTGAGCACCTGTATCATCATCTCTGGTTTGTTTAGCTGTGTGCTGCTCATTCAGTGGTCACGGCTGGCGTGCGCTTGAATAGACAGTTTAGATCTCTGTTTGTCTTCATGGATGTCTCATAGACGACTTGCTTCCACCTCCCTTGTCATTCTGTTTATTTAGATTTCACTTCCTGTTTGTAAATTTGAATATTTTGCGTGTTTCTCTGCTCTTTTTTACATTATATATATTGTTGTGTTCCCTGCCACCCTAGTGAGGATTAAACAGTGTATAGATAATGGATGGATGGGTATTGCTGTGTTGCTTTCTGCTAATCAACCTGTGACCACTTTGACCCCACGCTTTCTTTTTTCACTTAACACAAGTGTCGTAGACGTAGTGACAGAAACCCACAGTCTGCCGTGGAACGGTGGTCAGGCTGTGTTGAAATGAGCCACATGCATGGCCTCTGTGGGCCACCTCATTAGACACCTCTGAAAGTCATCCCAAGGAAGTGCTTGTGAATCTATACATGAGTGTAATGTTTTAAAACCGTGGAGGTGATGGTGACAACCCCTGATCTTTCTTTCTCCTTCTGCTGGTTCCTCTGTCAGCGCTCTTGGTCTGTATATTCGCGGAGTGGAAGAAGAAAGTCGCTCAAGAAAGGAGGGCTTGTTTCAAGAGGACGAGTGCATCGTCAGAATCAACAACACCGAGCTCATGGACAAGACCTTCAGCCAGTAAGTAGCACGCCATGTGTCTGAGGTGGATCTAGAGGGTCGAAGAAGTCCTCCGAGGTGATGAATAGCTGCAATGTGTGGCTTCAGGGTTTTAAAGAGCAAAACAACCGTCAGAATCTTCACACTGAGCTTTATGATAAACTGAACAGTGAGGAACACCAGAACTGTCAGTACATGGATGAGTTCAAGTCCCACCTTAAAGTCCTGCTCCAGCGATGGCTCTTCTGTTTGATGGACTGATGTACTGGAAACGTACAGCTTGTCCAGATTTCCTCTCTCAGATGTCGGTGTACCAGATTGTTGCTTCATACACTATGTTGGAGTTCTGGCCACTAATTAAAGATCCCCTCTGGTAAAAAGTTTTTTTTACCTCGTTAACGTGTCCATATGGTGTTTTTAATGCAGTGAGCAGCGTACCAATGGTCGTCCCAAAAACACGAATCCAACCCGCCAGGTTTGCACAAACAACAAACCGTTCCTATCAGCCTGAAGAGTGGGGCTTTCTGTACTGCTTGTCTTCTTATTAATCGGTTTCCAGCTCAAACGTGTGGTAGAGCTACTCAAATATCACTACTGGTCATGATGAAATAGAGTAGTTACCAGTGTTTGAGCAGAGGTGAGCTGGTGTGCTGTTCTGCAGCGAGTAGCGGAGGGTCAGTGGAGGAAGAGGCAGCTAGAGCTGGACGGCAGGAAAGCTTGTACATCCAGAGATAACGTCTAATCAGTGCTCAGAGAGGAGCTTCAAGTGATCTGAAAGAGCAAAACAAGACGTCTGCGTTTCTAGCGCTGCATTAAACGGCGTTACGTGGCAGGTGTGCTACCTGTGATTCTTCAACGTAGTCTGAAACTCACGAGCAGGCAGATTTCCAGTTTAAATCATTGCTAGGTCGGGTCCAGTGTCTCTTCTCTTCAATTCAGTTCAATTAGATGTTGTTTATACACCACTATTTCACAGCATGAGTCACCTCGAGGCACTTCACAGACTCCATCACTCTCTTCCTCCTCTGTGCCTGTTTCCTTTCCATTGTCAGAGGGCTTATATTGCTGATGTACTGCCACCACAAAGAACAGGAGGAAAGACATTTGGCAGATGTTCAGACAGCGTTGCTTCTGAATTAATCTGTGTATGTGAGCAGGTCTCTCAGAGCTGGCCTGCTTGTTCCTTGAAGGAAAGATTTGTTCAGATTCATTTGGGACCAGATGTTTCTCAGTTTGCTTAGCCAGCGCGCCGCTGAAGCACCTGAGTAGAAATACATTAACATGAGTGTATTTGGAGATGTAATATGATTACTTAGCATTAAAATGACAAAAGAGACACCTGTACAACCGCCTGCTGCAGATTAGCAGCCTTGATGCGGATGTTACAATGATTAGAGCACATTACAGCGTCTGTACGCTCCACACTTCCTGTCCAGTGCTCGGTGGCTCATGAGATTACCTGTGCACTAGTTTATGCTGTACTGGAGGTAAATGGATTAACTTCAGAAGGGTTTGCACCTATTGTTCAAAGACAGGTGTGTTGTGCCGTGTGTGCTCTCCTGCCAGCACCAGTTCACAGTTCACGTACATGCACA